CAAGCTTCTCCCAAAGGAGCCCTGTTTTGCCCAGTGATTGCCCTACCACTCCCTGTTTCAGGTCTTTCTGGCCCTAGCAATGTACCATGTTGTGATCATAGTTTTAAGTCTATAACCTCCTCCTCATACTACCACAGATGGAACAATACCAAGAGATGGGCTACCTTGACCCACCATCGCTTACAAAACCTGACCACAGCTTTGGGTGCTACAATCTAGTCTAGACTCACTAACTCAGCAGAGATGTGTAGATTTTTATCAGGTGAGGATCTTGCCCCAATATCTCTAAATTGCTCAAAAATGTAATTTCATGTAAATACATTTCAGATCCTTTAACACATTTATCACAGACTGTAATACATTAGAGCGAGGTTTTCATAAGCACTCAAAACTGGTCTCATTCTACTTTCACTGGGCACGTTTACATGTGCATATTAATGTGACACAATAAACTCTGGCACAGTTTGCGTTGGAGTTTATTGCTCCTGGGTGAAATATTTACACGTGTGCCCAGGACTGCAACATGCTGAGCCAGGGCAGAGCATCCCCTGCTGGCAGGGAACCTGGTAGGCTCAACATGTTGCGAAGGGGATGGCTGGGGCACAAGGGTGCTTCAGTGCACGACTTGCCAGCAGGCAGCCCCTGCACTGAAGCATACTCATGCCCCAACCAGTCCCAACAGCATCTATACATGTGTTGCAACAGAGTAAATAACTCCGCTGTAGGATAGTACTTGTATCTGGCATATCCGTCAGTACTAACCTATAGCAGAGTTAATTAGTTTACTGCAGCCTAATTGTTCCGCATGTAGACTGGTGACACTTTACTGTGAAGCTAATTAGGCAACTTTGCAGTAAGCCTCTCGTGTAAACACACCCACTGAGATTTAGACAAATCTTTTGACAAACCTAGCTGCAGCATTCCAACATGCACATCCATTTCCTTACCTCACTTAATCGACAGCACTCATCCATGTACTCATCCAGACTGTCACTCGTGGGATATTTCTTAAGTTGATTTCCATGAATTTGAAGATCCTGCATGCTGCCAAAGGTCTCTTTGTAATGGCTAGTGGTGGTCTTTTGCTCTTCCATGGGAGGCACAGTTGGAGGAGTGTCATGAATGGGGAGGTCTGTCTCGTTGCTGGGTTCCTCTTCTAAAGACTGCCCTTTGCTTTGGCCAAAAAGTTGATCAGGACTTTCTCCCTTCTGACAATTGCTGAAATCTTCCAAGGAAGATGCAGGAATCTGCATAGAGTCTATCACCTGGCTGTAGTGCTCCACTTGCTTTTTGCTCTCTGGAGCATGCTGGTTAGCTTCTTCAGGGTCTTGACATGTTCTCATTATAATGTGGTCAATTTCTGGAGAGGAAGAGGCACTGAGCACTCCAGAGTCACAAGAGGAGTCTCTGCTGTGAAGCACAAAACTCTTCTCAGAGCCCTTTGGTGTGGATGGAGAATTAGCCCCACTTGGCAACTCAACCCCGGAGTCCTCAGATTCAAATTTGGAGAATCTGTGAAGCCGGCACTGGGTCTCCAATGTGCTGAGATCAGACAGGGTAGCTGTGTAATCTGGATTTGCTGGAGTGTCTGTAACATCAAGGTTTCCCTGGATGTTGACCTGGGGAAGCCTGGATTCTTCTGCACAATCTGGAGCTGCAGCAGACTCCAGATCCTGACTCCCTTCATTGCTTAGCATCTTCATGTGAGTTAGCACGACTTTGTCCTCAGAGGGAGGGCTCTTCTTGCCTGCTAAAGCAAAAGCACACTGACAGTCACAAGGGCAACATAGTTTATTCCATGCAGTCATATGCAGCTCTCCTCCTGAAAGGAATGAAATATGGACAGCTAAATTCATGGCTTATGCAAGCATTAAGCAAACACTGATGGGGTGGGGGAAGGGAAGGGGATGCGTACATGCATGAATGAGTAAAATAGACTTCTCCTAGCACATTATATCTATAGAAAAAATGTTACGTGACACAAATACAGGCTACTATCAGTAGTGCAATGGTTGCTACCAACAACACAGTATTGGTAGGGCAGTACAGTTTTTTGTACAGATGACTTATAAACTTGTGCTTCAACAGCAGAATTATGCTTTATAGACACCCAGTCCTTCAGAAAGAGTCCTAAATGTAGGTTGAGTACCTGAGGGTTGAATTTCCACATGGCACAGATATGAAACAACACATGTAGTCAGCTGACTCCTTTAGTGATTGCACATGTTCAGATGATGAAGAGCTAAGATAATAATCAAATTAAGTTCAGAATTCTGTCCCACCCCGTCTCTCCCCACTCCCATTGATTTATTTCTTGCCTTCCCCTCTCTCTAACAGCAGAAATTGGAGTAACAAAATTTGAATCTTCAAGGCATCTGTATAAATTCTAGGTTGTAATAAGCAAATTTACAGGCTGTTTGGTTAATGGCTGAATATCCTCTGCATCAGATGCAAATGTTAAAATGCAGGAAATGACTAAAAAAAAAAATCAACCAGGAACTACAGTTGTCTCCAAGTCCTTTTGGGTGGACATGAAATGAAATGTTTACACAGGGTAACTGGCATTAAAAAGATAGCGGGCAGATGACAACATACCCCTATAACTAAAATAACTTCACCAAGTACAATGGAGAATTACCCCTGAAAAAATAAGAAGTAAAATTCTATTGGGGTAAGTTTAAATTGCATCTGCCTGTGTCCATCGCTCGGTAGCTGTTTGCTGAAGACAAACAGGTAACCTGCTCCTATGTTGCCTAACAATGAAGCATAATCATAACAACCTGCTATGAGTGCTACCCTGCTTATCTGCCCGTTCCTAATCCCAGTGTAGTTTGCACTGGTATACAATATAAGTTACTGCATAATTACACTCATCCGTGTTTCCATGGATGGAGAATCTGTACTTTTACAGAGAATGTTAGATGCAGCAACATCTTAACAATAAGATTGACTTGACCTTGGAATTGCCTCTCAGAAATACTGAAAACCCCATCACATGAGTCATTGAAATATAGACTGGGCCAATATAAAAAATGTGTTGTAAGGAGCAATCTTGTGCTATTTTAGTTTCTTTTACATGAGTAGGAATTAAACATATTTAACAGGGTACAAAGGCACTTAACTTACTGGTACTTGCTTTTATATCATTTCTAAGTACTATACTGGGGCATGATTGGATATATAAATCCTAGTGTGTGCATAGGGCAGTTTTCCAGTGTAAATCCTTGGAGGATTCCCTGGAGGCTCTTGACATGAATAGGAAGAGTGATCCTGGAGCCAGTGGGTATAGGTCAGTCTTACTTACAGATTCTCAGGCTCTGGAGAGTAAAGTGTAATATCTTTTGGTGGATATAGTCCTGGGATATGAAAAATTAGTGGGGTACACATGCTGTTTTGCATGAATAATACTTCCACAGTAGTGCCGTGCACCATTCCTGTTAGGATTAGGAAATGTCATGCCCAGCCATAGATCCAGGCTCTGATACCTGTACTTGAACTGAGCATGATTGCACCTTACATACAGTCCTACTGAATTTCCTAAACAGTATAATCATGGCCCTTGGTAAATGACCCTCTGGCAACTGCAAATAACCCTGGTTTTCCACTTGAATTCAATACTAACCATATTCTTATGGTGTGAACAATACCTCTGATTACCAGTCAACATATCCAGAGCCTGATTCTACTCTGCCTTTACTCCAGATTTACACTGTGACAAGAAAAAAAGAACATCAAGCCATAGAGTATCTTGTATAGAGGTCACTAAAACTCTCTTTGGGGAAAGATGTAGCAGGGGGACTCCTACCTCTGCTACTAGGACTGAGTGAGTGCAGTGCCACAGGAAGGCTAGCTGCAAAATGGTAAGCCAGGGGCCCAGTGAACAAGTGAAAAAGGGTATGAAGTCCAGACAGAGCCCTGCCAGTGTACAAGACCATATGGACTACATGGGCAAAAGCTGAGACTGGGTCAGGGGCCCAGTAAATTCCCTGCTAGGACCTGGTGTGAGCTGAAACTGAGAGGGCAAATAGGCCCAGTGGGCTGACACTCAGATGGGACTGGGAGCCCCGGGGAAGTTTGAGGAAGATCACTGAGGCATAAGCATGGCAATGGGGCAGCTGAAGGCCATGATTACTACCCTTAAGGTGATTAGGGGCAGGGGAAGATGAATAGGGCCAATAAGGTCATGGCTGATGCTGGCAGCACACAGGTGGTGCCAGCTAGACTTGGAGAACTAGCTAGAGGGTCCAGGATCTGTGACACTGAGGCAGGGCTGGCAGGCCCAGAGCCAAGGAGGGTGAGGCCATGCTGGGGGCCTGGAGCCAAGAAAAAGAACAAAAGAGTAATGCCTTGGTCAGGCAGGAACTGAGACAAGAATGTCACCACCCAGAGATCAGCAAGGCAAAGCAAAGCACCCAAAGCTTATTCTGGTCTCTGAGGACAGTCTTCCATATTTCTCAATTAGACATCACAGTATGGCAGGCAAGCAAAAGGCGATGGCCTGAAAGACCAGCAGGCCAGGACAGTGTCCAAGTTGCTATTAGAGTGTGCCATGGCCATCCTCCACAAGCAGATCCTGTCACAAGGGTCTATCTTTTTGGTTCTGTAGTTGTACAGCACCTAGCACCATGGAGTCCTGGGCTGTCACCGGAGTTTCTAAGCACAGTGGCAATATAACTGGTAAACAGTGACAGTAATTGCAAATGTGGCAGGAACAAAAACTGAGGTGCTGATCATATGTGCTATAACCTAGAATTGACTCACTTTGTGCTTTAGGAACTTCACTCTGATGTCTCGGGGCTGTTCCCCAGCTGAGATGAATAGCCTTTGCTTTTGTGGAGCTATGCTGATGTGGCGGCTTGCCAGCAGCAGCACGGCTCAGAAAGGCTCCGAGCGACTGGTGGGACATTCCCACCAATCAGGAGATGGCAGGGGAAAGACTTGCCCCACCCCTACCCGGGGCAAGAGCCAGACCTGAGAGGGGACTGATCCCCCCCTCTCTTTTGATTGGTCCGTTTTCAATCTGGGGGCAGAGCTCCAGAAGAGAATAAAAAGGCAGCGTGCCTGGCACACAGGCAGTTGCATCGAGGGATGAAGAAGAAGATAAAGAAGAACTGGCAGAGGCGGCCAGTGGGGTGGAGCTGTTGCCCCGGAAGAGCCCGAAGTCTCCTTGTTGGGTAGGGAGAGGTGAGGCGGCCAAGTCCCCCAGCCCCACCATGAGGGATCATGGTGAGCAGTGCACAGAGGGTCCGAGAGGGACTGAGATCCTGAGAGCTGCATGAGGCACCTTGGGTCTCCAACCCCTGGCATGAGGCCAGGCAGTCAGTGCACAGCTCGTGCATGGAGGGTTTGGGAGTAGACTGAGATCCAGGAGCCGCTTGAGGCAGCTCAGGTCTCTAATCCCTGGCACGAGGCTGGGAACACGATGCACAGGCAGTGCACAGAAGGTCTGGGAGTGGACTGAGACCCCGGCGCTGCACAAGGAGGCTCGGATCTCCAACCTCTGGCACAAGGCTGGACATGCAGCATAGAAGGGCCATCGGTGCACAGGACCAGGACAGTGCACAGGGCCTAGAGAGGGCCCAGGCCAGAGCGAGCCAGGAGCAGCTGGGGACTTCCTTGCTGAGGGAGGAAATGCCTCACCCAGGGAAACCAACGCAGCTTCATCAAGCCGGGAGAGTTGTGGGTTGTCCTGGGAAGGGGGATTCCCACAGGGTAGGAGGGATTCCCCACCCCCACATGTTGGGGCTAGCAGCTGGAGGGAAAGCCCTAAAGGGAAAGGGCTCCTGGGGTTCTTGAGGGTTCCCCTTCGTGGGCTATTCAGGCTGGGTAGCAGGGAGCCTGAAGGGCCCTGGGGATCTTTCCCCTCTCATTATTTTTCGGGCATGCCACTGCCCCAGGACAAGGGCTGCTTTTTTGTTCCTTTTAGAGATCTAACTTTTCATCTGATGTTTCTGCACCTCATATTTTGTGAACCCTGTGCCTCGTATTTTATGAACCCCGCACCTCATGCTTTGTACATGAGTATTTCACAACAGTATAAAATTGCATGATGTTTACGGAGACCCTTTGTTTCCCAGATCCCTCACCTGCACCTAGAGTATATGCATTGACTTGTGTGTGTGTGTGTGTACATACACACACACATATATATATATTGCACATAATTCCCAGGTCCTTTGTATATATGTTCTATTTTAACTCTTTTTCTATGTATATTAATAAATTTGTACATAGTTAAGTTATTGAGTGTCTTGATCTGGCTCTATAGGAGAAGGAGGGAAACTGCATGCAGCCAGCAGTTTCACCCCACAGCACACTGCTAACATTCCCTTCAATTAGAGAGGGGAATACATAATTGGGCACTACCCGGGCTACACTGATATACCACCCGCAGATCTGGGCCCTGGTTTCTTTTGTGTCTGCCAAACTAACATTTTGCAACCCCATGTTCCAGGTTATGCTTGGGATGGATCCAACCCACTATGAACCTTATAAAAGCTGAAGTCTAGATTTACCTCTGAATTTTGCAGCTTGGGATCAAACTCAAGGTTTTTATGACCCCTTCATCTATTGACTGGTTGATAGGAGCACTTCAGAAGAGCTACAATACCCCAGAAAGCACATATATGTACATTACATGATATCTGGCCTCCTGTTTCATTTCCTTCCATTCCCATGCTCTCTCTCTTCCTTTCTACACACCAAAAACTACTTCACGCAGTAGCTCCTGGTGATGTAATGATTCCTAGCTAGAAAGGGAAGAAACCAAAAGCTGGAAATACAATAAAGAGAAGAATAAATAGAATAAATAAAATAAATGTG